CAGGGAGTTAGAAACTTTTTACGCGTATCTAGGTTGTAACGACCAGTTGAGGTCAAAGGTGCAGTCTTCATGTTGAGGGGCGAAGCCCTAAATTGGTGGGACTCAGTAGTAGCGGCAGAAGACCATGCTAATGTACCGATCACGTGGGTGAAGTTCAAGGACTCGTTGTATGACTACTATTTTCCAGAGATTGTGAAAGATGTAAATGAGGCGGAGTTTCTCCATTTCACCCAAGGCAATATGACAGTAGCACATTATGAAAGAAAGTTTATGAAACTCTCCCGTTTTGCTCTGGACCTAATTCCCACCGAGGCAGTGAAGATCAAAAGGTTTGTTAGAGGTTTATGTAAAGGGATTAGAGGACCAGTTGATCTTTAGCGACCAACCACGTACGCGGAAGTAGTTAGGGGCGCCTTAATTATGGATAAGGATGTAACGCCCTCGAACATTTTACACTCTTCTAAGTAACATTAACTAAATCACCTGTTTAACCTTATCTCTAAAGCGAGATAACTATCTCCCTGTGAAATAATTAAATAAAATAAAGCTTCGTCTCTCATCAATTCACCGAAAATAAAAAAAATATCAATCCTGTAAATTATCATTCAAACGTCCTCCGTGGACAACTCCATAAGGCAAATCCATTATTCCAGCTAAACAACTCAATGAATGGAAGAAAACTAAATGAAACGCCTATCCTGAGCCAAAGTAAACAACAGGTGGGAAACTCCCAATAATCAAATAGGAACAAGTAGTTTATTGCCCAAAACATTAATACATAAACCATCTAAACCTAAGCTAAGTGAAAGTAACTACGCAGCCTATGGTCCTCTCTCGTCATGTCTCCTCCACGTCATCGCCAGGGTCGTCAACAAAATCTCGGCCTGAAAACAAAATTTGCAGAGGAGGGTGAGTATATAAAAATATACTGATTACGTTTGTTTACATGCGTAAAAAGACGGTTTTAGATGCTGTTTTTACTATGTTTTAACCTTGTTTCGGACTTTTTCTCGGTCGTTTGAGTTCCAATTCATGCAAAATTCATATATGATGGTTTGTGGTTAGCTTATATTGTATTTATGACATTTTAGGACCATTTGGGAGTGCAAATTAATCRAAAGAAGCAAAAAGACGRAAAAACATCATGGGAGGCGCCAGGCGCCTGGGAAGGCTGCAGAAAACTGTTTTTCTTCCAACTTTGCCCTTAATGAAACGCGTCTTCCAATGCGTTTTGGTGGTTCCAACCGATGCATACGTGTAGAAGAAGTGTTCCACTATCAGTTTGAGCACGATTTAGTCAGTCAAAGGAGTTGGAAATGGGTGATTCACATCGTTTTAGGACCTACCTAACAAATTCTGCACAGCTATAAATTCCAGCAGCTTCTCCACCAAATTCATCAAGTCTTGCTTCCTTCTCTTGATCATTTTTAGTGTTTCTTTGTTGTTTTCTAAGTACTTTTGAGTT